CACATTGTATAATGCTACAAAGTTGCAGTTGTTGGGCAGTATGTTGTGCTAAGAATATATATCGTTAAGCTGTATGATGGCACTGCCAGTCCTAGTAGTTACTATGGAAGGAACTGATAAGGAATGATAAAATATGACCCATATTTAAATCATGAGGCTGAACTACAGTTACTTCATATCAAAACGAACATAGTTTGTTTATTTTCAGAAGCTGAAGGACTAAGTACAGGGTCCGCTACCAAATGGTGTTTGCAATACAAAAGCCAAGGTTTTTCTGGCAGAGACACTATAAAATCAAGCCACAGCCATGTCCATACTCCCTAGTAGTTTATTCTATAAATTAATTTCATAAATTTTTGAACAGTCATGCAGGATTTAGCCACACAAATCCATTAAAGGAAATAATGCAGAAATACTACCTGGCTTACGACCTACTAGAATTTTACTTTACTTTAAACCCTTTGCAGATTTTATTTATATTGCTGCATTTTAAATTTATCTTTGAGTGAAACAGTGTTTATGAAACAGATGGGCTAATAATGTTTCCTTGCTCCAGGAGGGAATGAATCCATGAAATCTTGTTTATACTTCTTAACCAATATTCATCTCTGATAATCAACAACATCTCTTCAGGTTTAATTCCGGGCTTCTCTCCTGAGCAGTAACTTTCACTTGTGGCAAAATACTGGAAATAGCAAGCAGGCCAGTGAGAGGAAAGGCAAGAGTACAGACATCGGAAAAATAGATGAAAAAGCATCCATAACTCAAATGGCCCCATTTTAAGAAAAAACTATCTTCAAAAACATTAAAAAAAAGATTCTGAATGACTTTTGCCTCTGTCACTACTGCAAACTTAGATCCAAGACCAAAAGTCACTGTACTATAATTTAATGACTATATTAAGTCCATGTCAAAAGAGTTGGGAGGACTCAGTCCAGCTTCTGTTAGAAAAGCATTCTCTATATCAGTATTTCTCAGTGACCGATCCGTGAACCAGTGCTGTTCCCTGAGATCTCCCTCACACAGTTTAGAAAGGCAGCAAGCCGGTCCCTGGTATCAAAAAGCTTGAGAAACACTAATCTATATCACAAAAGAAGAAAAAAAATCTCCCAAACACCATATATGACAATAGTAGGAACCCTCACTCATGGAGTGAAATCTGAATGGTCATAGCACTGAGATCAAACATTTGAAGAGGTTCAGTGAGCTATGACTGTTTATGGGCATTGGAAGGGAAAACTGATGGAGGAAGAACATGAGGCAGAAAAAGATACTGGATGGACTATGTGTTACCTTAGATGGATCAAAAGAACTATTCATCCACAGAGAGATTAGCAGAGGACCCAACAGAACGGGCTACTATGGTAGCAAATTTTCAGTGATGAAGATGCCATTTAAGAAGAAGAAGAAGAAACAATAAGGGCTCCTCAGCCATTAAACTAGCAGAGTTTCTTGGACTTCAATGGAGCTATGCTGATTGGTGCCAGCTGAGAATTTGGCCCTGAGAATGAAAACAGTTTTGCCTTCATAGAATCATAGAAATGTAGGGTTGGAAGGGACCTTGAGAAGTCATCAAATCCATTCCTCTGCTCTGAGGCAGGCCTATGTAAACCTAGACCATCCCTGACAATTGTTTGTCTAACTTGTTCTTAAAAACCTCTAAAGATGGGGATTCCAAAACCCCCCTTGGAACCCTATTCCAGAGTTTATTTTATAGTAAGTTATGGTTAGATATTAGGAAACACTTTTAATCAAATCTTCTTTGCTCCAGTTTAAGCCCATTACTTCTTGTCTTACCTCCATGGACATGGAAAACAGTTGATTATCATAGTCTATATTAACATAGCTGAAGACTTATCAAGTCTCTGCTCTGTCTTCTTGTATCTTAGACCAAACGTGCCCTTTCCTCAGAGGTTTTCTAAACCTTTCCTCATTTTCGTTGCTCTCCTCTGGACTCCCCAATTTGCCATTTGTTTCCTAAAGTGTGGTACCCAGAAATCAAGCATCTGTTTTTCTGAGCTGACACACGTTTTTCTGAAGCTGACTGGACTTTTTCAATTTATAGACAAATTCTGACCATTTTTGGAACTGAGCATTTGTTCAGATTTTTCAGTTTGCTGGCTGAATCAAAAAACAAAACAATTATTCCTTCCGCTCTCTTCACAAAAGATATGTATATCAAGAACAACACAGCACACTAAATTGCTAGAGGATTTAAAAGAAGATAAGGTTTTCTGTTGCATAATATACTCAACAGAAGACATGTAGAAACCAGTATATCAAAGTGGCCTTTCTCGGCATACTTGATAAAAGGCTGATTTTCAGAGAAAACATCAGTAGCATGAATGCAGTAATTGCTTTCCATGCCTGAAGTGTTTTGTTTTATGTGCTTTGCCCATGTCACTGCCCGGATCAAGCTCCCCCTTGCTGGACCCTCACCGGTCTGCTGTGTTTGGATCTACAACGATGGGCCCATGTATTTTTTCAGCTTTCCTGCATGTAGGCCGTCTCCCATGAGTTTTTGCTTCCAGCCTCTCCAGCACACTTCTTGGGTACAGATTCTCTACTTGGTACCCCTCCTTGGAAGTGGATCCTGTGGCCCAATTGTCCTAGTCCCTAGGACCATGGCTGATACATACAACCTCCCCCCCCCCCCCCAAGACTCCCAGTAACTTAAGCATATCAAGCTCCACCTTAGTGGGAACTCTCATTTATAAATTACCCTTTTAGGGATACATGATAGTTGAAACAGCTACAGACTTTGCAGAAGGATTTCTAGAATAATCACTAAGTCAGACAGTATAAGCAACATACAAATAAATGCAAAATAAGAAATACCTATGTACAATTCCCTGCTTCTGTTTCCTCACCACTCTTGAGCACTCTTTAGAATCTGGTCAGCATCCTCTGGGGAGTCCAAGACCCTTCCTCTCACCCTTCTCCTCCTGCACAGCCTCCTGTTCTGGTTCTAGTCTCTTCTCCAACTGGTCAGTAAGAAACCTTTCCTTATATAGATTTCCATCTCCTCTGTCAGATGACCTTCCTGATGAGCCTCAAATCCCCATCAAGTGATCAAAGTGGTCACTACCCATCTGGAGTCGAGACTTGAAACACTGGTTTGTCCTGGGCCATAATTAGGTCTTTCCCCAAGTGTACTTCTACTGGAATGGATGACCATCAAATTTAATGATCCTTCACTATGAACCCTCTGTTAGGTGCAAGAATCTCTCGACACCTCATGTAGTCGTCAGTTCTAAAAGGAAGCTACAGAGCCAAGGTGAAGGCACAGAATAGTCATACTCAAAATAGTGCTCAGAAAATAAGATGGAGTTAGTAGTTTGGTATAGATAGAGTTCATAATACCAGACAGAATCATAAGTGGAACATAGATGGGTCCCCCAAGCATCACAGCCCATAACCTACAACCTTGTACTAATGGATGCTTTATTAAAACAGTCCCTAGGAGATTCATGTTTGCATTCAAGTAGAAGCTAACCAACCATTTTAAGACTCTCTCCGGTTATTTCCAATCTAAGAAGCTACAAGTAAACCCGGGGCATCCCGATTACTCACTACTCCCAGGATTACAAGGCAGATGTTTGCACTGAATAAATCTGTAAACTAATGATTTCCCATACCTATTTGTCCGTTTGGACAAGGCAAAAGAAAAGATGTTTGACACTGGGACCTTATTGCAGACTGTGGTTCAAGCTGTCCATGCTCTTTGAAGCATTAGTAGAGGAGAAAATTGTGGAGATGCATTTTACTGATTATATCAGCTATCCAGCCTACTTCAGTGTAGAGGTGCTGGATCAGAATAATGGAAAAAATTACTTTCATTTCTGACCATTTTAATGATGTGACTGTGAGGAAGGTAGCCTGTCCACCCCTTACCCAGAACAAGAATCCTTAAAACCACTCTAAAGATGACTTGTAATCACTCTAAAGTTCTAAGAAAGACTTGCAGAAGTTTTAGGGCTAATGGCTAACCAAACCACTTGAATTCAATGAGCATCACAATAAAAGCAATGTATAAACATTAGATTGTAAATATAAACACTGTCCAAAAAAGAGTTCCCTATGTGGCATCCCATCTCCCCCGTAGTGCCCTGTCATATTGCTACTGGGCTCACCCCTCCTGTTAGTTTTTTGTTTTTTACTTTTGTATAGAGGGAGTCCTGAGTGACACAAAGAGCACCTACATAACTCCATTAGTTACACTGTGAATGGTCTCATGGGAGTCATGACATTACATTTTAACATGCTGACACGGTAGCATATAGAGTTATGGGAAATTGCCAAATTTTATTGTTTTGTGTAAATAATGTACAAGAAATTCTTTTGGAAGATAAGTCTCTCTATTCCACAGTGTGTTTTAAATCACTGCATCACACAAAAATAGGTTGGAGATAAATGCTCAGCAATAGGGTTATTTCCCATCTAAAATACGTTCTTTACTATTCTGCTGTGCCAACTCTTAATTCAGATGGTTCTAAATTCTGACCAGAAGTGTTGGACTCTCTCTTGTGCAAAACAGTATTATTTTACTGCAAGATGAATTTAGAGGTAGAGCTATCAGGCAAGCCAGATTTAAAAAGAGTAACTGAGTTCAAATAGGTTTCAGAGTAGCAGCTGTGTTAGTCTGTATCCGCAAAAAGAAAAGGAGGACTTGTGGCACCTTAGAGACTAACTTGAATTTCTTTATATAAAACAAGGCAATTTATTTAGCTACTCCAATGAAATTAAATATCAAAACCCCACTGACTCCCTCAACTGTGCATAAAAGAGATGTGGCATGGATTTCCAGAAATGCTTAATTAGATTGTTTTTTTAATGTGCACATGAATAGCAGTCAGTAATCAGATTTGGAAATGAAATGATAAAACTGCTCTTGAAAGAGAAAGGGCAACCGGCAGTAGGAGTCTGTTGATGTCTATTTATTTATTTATTACATTGGAGATTGATAGCAGAAAAAACAGTATTCCTGATAGGATGGCTGTAGGCATACAATATACAATCATGATTCATTTTTCTTTGAAGTCTATGTCAAAACCATCATTGACTTCAGGGTATAGGACTAGCTCCTATTTTTCTGTAGTGTCCTTCATATTGTAGTCTCCATTAAAAAGTCTTGATTTTCCTCCAATAGCAAGATACCATTTCCTAATATGGTAACACTGGGCAAAATGTGGAGTTTCAGATAGCACTGTTGAATAACCGTTCGCCTACGGTGTGCTTTTTTTTTTTTTTAAACAAAGCCCACTGAATATATGTGTGAAATACTTCACAAGGAAAGGTGATTGTAAGCTAAGGAAAAGAAAGGAAATTTCAAGAACCATATCATAATCATCAGTGTTACACTACTGACTAGACTCCTTACCTGAGATGGGGCTTCACTGTGCTAGGAACTGTAAACATGTGGTTATAAGAGACAATCTCTATGCAGAAGAGCTTACAATCTAAGCAGCCAAGACAAAGGACAGGAAAAGAAACACAGGTAGAGAGAGGTGAAGTGATTTGCTTAAGTCATGCCACAGATCAGAGACTAGGAATAGAACCCAAGTCGGAGTCTGAGTCCCGTGTCCTATCCATTGGAACATTGCCAGGAAGGAAGGGACTGCGATCCTGAGCTTGCAAGCCTTCCACACAATTCACTCACTTTGGCTTCCAAAGGTGTTCTGTCTGTAGAGGGGGGGCTGCAGCATCAGGTCTTAAGTGGTAGCAGATAAAGACACTCCAATGTTTGGAGGAAGACGAGCAAAGGAAATTTAGAAACAGCAGTGGATGCTGCTGTAAATGGCTAGATGTTTTGCTGCAAAGATCAATCAGGTTATTTTCTTTTTTAAATTATGTGTTCGATTGAATCTGCAGTATAAACAATTGTTTTGTTTTAATTTTGATCTTAAATTTATCATACTATGTTTTTGAAATATCAAGAACTTTCCCCCAGCTAAGTGACATGGAAACATAGACTTTACATTTCAGGTCTGGCCCTGCACTTCTTTTACAGGCAAAGCTCTGATTCACTTCAGTAGGATTTTTGCCCTTTGCTTCCTTTTGCTAGCTCTGCTTTACCCATACATATTCCCTTCCTTTGACACCAAATCTTTGTTTTCATATCCCAGTATCAGACTCCTTGGGACAGGAACTGTCTCTTGCTTCTGTGTTTGTGTAGTGTCTAGGGCAATGAATGGGGCTTGTAGATACTACCACAACACAAATAATACAGCAATAATCATACCCTCTTATGTTCCACTTCAGTATTATCATTACAGTGGCCTGAGCATTTGTCAATTGCCTGGACGCTGAAGTAGATGAACTAGTCAAGAGCATGAAAAGCAGCTTCCCACTCCATTCTATAGAAACTTCATGAGACACTATTTGAAATGTTAGGGTTCTTCTCAATTCAACGATACATTTTCTGGTATGCCTGTTACCTGTAAGTGATATGAAAATGTTAAAGACGTAATATTGAAAAAACAATCCACTTCTGAGGCACAGTTTCAACAGTAAAACCGTTTCTTGCAGCAAAAGACATTTCCCTGTGGCATCTCCCCCTGGTATCTCCCTGCAATAGCCAAGTTTATGATAAACTTTGGAAATTAAATACAAAAAAGCTATTTGCAAATGAAGAGTGCATTCTCTATACTGTAATTTGTAAGACCATTACCAAGTATTCAGATAGTGGCCAGTCTCTTTTTGAACATGTTCACTGATCCCAAAAGTTTCATGAATGTTAGCACAAAATATCATCTGAAAATTCATAACAGATGTGTATTCTTCATTATTTGCTGTTCAGTATGATTTTTTCCTCCAGTTCAAAGAGTTTTATCCATCCAGTTAATTATTGTGGTGTGTGATATTGTAACAGCAAGAAGCAAAAGAGAATGGTACGTGAACAACCCATAGCCAGGACTTTGTTACATAAACTATTCAGCAAGTACTTATACTACCAAATTAAGTTAAATCTTTTAGAGAGTATCTTCAAATACCTCTCAATAGTATAGAGCAGTTCTCCCTTCAGAGACAATTTGCGAGATTGAAAACAAATTGTGATTAAGAATTTCTACATTAGGAGAAATCAGGATTGGTTCATAAACTAAAAAAAGAGGGTTACGTGCAGAATGAACAATTCAACCAACTCTAATTAACATTATTTGTCTCTCATGCTGGCAAATCAGATTCACTATTCTCACATTCAGACCCAGGAATTTCAGCTCCTGCTTATTATTCAGTTGTGTCACTTTGCTTTTCTAAAATAAATGCCAGGTACATATTAATTGAATTCGGCAGCAGCTGATAAAATGTTTACAGATTATACGGAGAAGCCTACTCAAATTTTAGTACAATATAATGCAAATCAAAAGTAATTGAAAGAAATGCAGGATGTCAATTTCACATAAACAAGAGCTTGTGATTAAAATACAGGCATTTCTCATACACCATTTCATTCCTTCTATTTGAAAAATCAAAGATTTACAACATAATTGCTTTTTCAGAAAAAGAAATAAATTAGCAACTGTGGAAAAAAAACTTTCATATCAAGGGACTGAAGTCAGTAGAAAAATTCCCAAATTGACTTCAGTAGGCTAGGTTCAGGCCTGAAATGAGATACTATATCAAGTGGCATGAGAGTATGAGGAGAGTGCTAGATATCTAAATGAACTACCTGTTCATTTAGATATCTAGCACTTCATGAACTGCTAGATATCTAGCGTTTCATGAACTTGCCACAGAGGGCTTTATCATGGGCTACCAAGAACTAAGAGTACTGTAGAACCAGTATAGATGCTTGGGTGATAGGGAAACCTTTGATAATGACGCAGTTACTAATCCTATTGTCATAGACAATGAGATGCTCAGCTCATCATATAGAGTACAAGTGTCACTGGGGATGGAAATTCATGATCAGACTGAAGGAATTATTATATATTCAAGCACCTATTTCTTTTCTTTCCACCCCAGCCCAAAAAAATCATACTCTGGATAGAAAAAAAGCAAGACCTGATGAAAGCACACTGAGGGGAAGTATTTCTGTTCTTACTTTCCACCACTTTCCCTTTCCACCAGAATGACTTCATACCCTCTGAACAAAATCACCATATAACTAATAAGATCATGCGGGGGGCGCGGAAGGAATTATCTGGGGTAAGGAAGGGGCTAGGAAACTAATAACTACTCGACCTGCAGAATGAGAGGGGGAAAGTTAATGCAGCTTGGAATAACAGCAATGCTGGTAACCTGTTTGAATTCATTATTCTCTGTTTAAAACAAATGAGGCTCCAATCTCTAAGAAGAGAAACTTGCTGAGATTAGAGCTGGTTGGCCAAAAAGAGAGAAAATGTGAAATATTTTTAAGTCAAAAGTTAAAAAAGAAAAAAATTATTATCTCCCTAGTTGGCAGAATCAGATTGTTTGTTTGTTTTTTTTGCAAAAGTTGTTAAAATCTTTTCTGATTGCTTTTGAATTAAAAAATGTTGAAATTCAAACAATGCCAGCCAGCTCTAGCAGGGATCGTATAGAAGCATTAGAAAAATCTCAGGGGAAGATTTTGCTTACCTCAGTAATCCCACAACATACAGTATTCCAGAGAGGAAATTGTTCCCAGATGTAAAATGTATAGTACATTCATCCTGTTCCTAATCAGGTGGCTCTACACAAATGAAAGAACCTGGGAAACAAACAAAATCACAGAATATGATGTAGTGGGCATAAGAGAAATCTGATGGGACAAATGCTCATAACTAGCATGTTGATATCCAATCTATGCACAGCAGAAACCATTGAAACATTTGCAGCATTACCACTGGTATCTGATATTTTAAATATAGGGTGAAAGTGAAAATCTCATATATCACTGTGTGCAACTGTTGGAAAATATGGAATCTTTCATTTTGACTCCTCAGAGAGGCTTGAAAGGAAGAAAAAGTTCAGGGATGGGATTACGCGGCAGAAATAGTTATAATAGCAGTGAGTTATAATTCAATAATAACATACTCAAAATGTTTGGGACAAGTTTAGGTGACTGTGTAATGACTTTGTAGTTACTGGCAAAGGGAATTTGCCCCCAGGATTCAACTACAGTTGTTCAGGCACAGATGATTTAGTTGGGGATTGGTCCTGCTTTGAGCAGGGGGTTGGACTGGATGACTTCCTGAGGTCCCTTCCAACCCTGATATTCTTTGATTCTATGATTACTGTTCAGCTGTTTACTACACCTAGGATATATAATTTTCCTATGGTCTGCATTCATTAGATTGACACACAATCATTGCAGAAGATGTTTGCAAGTAAGAGATCCCTACCTACACTTGACCTGCTAAAACACTTGGTCAGAGCTGCCACACCTACGTGTGATGGTCATCCAATTCGTCATCATCACACTCACCCACTATCGGAGCAGATGGTCCCTCTCATTCTGGATGTCCTCTATGCACATATGAAGCCCCACTTTCTCATCATCAAGGAGATCCACCTGGAATTTGAACTCACACTTTTCTTTTGCTTCTAAGGTCAGCTGAAAGGCATGGTCCAATGCCACCAGATTCTTTTGCAGACTTTTGCTATCATGACCACATGCTCAGTCCCGGTCCCCTTCAATACCTCTTCTACAAGGGCCTTCGTCTTTTTCACCCAGCTTCTTGCCCAATCCTCAGCAAACTGTAGAGGGTCATCAGTCATCCACACATTCCCCCACAGCATTTGAGGCATTGTCTGCATCCCCACTGTGAACTGTACAGCATCTGTATTCATCCTGATTTTGATTCAGTTTATCTCAGGGGTAGTACTCCTCTCCTCCATGTTTCTCTAGACTCCTATTGGGTGAGTAGCTGTAAGAACCACTGTCATCACCACCAGATCTGCTTTACCTAAGCCACGGAATATCATATCATATGTGAGGTTGCCATTGGCAAGTTACTGGAGAAAGTACGCACCAACTCAAGCCTGCCACTGCATAATGACCTTTTTAAACCACCATCACGTCGCCCATTATGGTCTCATCTGCCACACCAGTATAGTAGGGTGGAAAAACTCTGACGAGAGGAATGGATATCTCTTATAATCCCCAACCAGTCACTTGTCGCTGACCCCACAATTTGCCCGCCTGGTTTTGACCTTTCCATGTCACTAATGGTCCCTCTTGAACAGGTTCCGGATCAGGCAAGGTCTCTGTGCAGCCAACCGGTATCCCTGGGGCCTTGGTGACAGCCCTTTGTGTAGCTGCGGCACAACACAGATGATGACGTATATTGTCGATGAATGCCTGCTGACTAGGTTCAGTGGTGGCCTAGAACTGCATCATGCCACTGAAGATGCCATCGCTTGGCTAGACGACTATGCACACGCTAAATAAATACTGAATTTGTGCTGCTGGAGATCCACTCCTTTCTTTGCCTATAGCTTCTTTATCTCTATCTGCAGTTCACTTTCTGTTGAGGGCAGCAACTTCTTAAAAGCTCACTTCCCAACAAACAAAACCAAAACTCGTCTACTCTTTAACAATAGGCTGAGCTTCTGTTGTTTATCCTGTGCTCTGGGCCCCAAAGTAAGCCTTCATATCCCAGTTTACATAAGAAAGGCTTGCCGCTATGTGCCCCACTTGCCCACAGGCATTGCACACTCATGTCTAGGCCTCATGCCTTCTCCCCCCTCCCCCACCAATATATTTTCCTACCCAGTACTGTGGCCACTAATTGTTTCCTTTTGCAGGTTCCGAAGCAGGTCTTGCTGCTGCTCTTCTAATATCATCAGTCACCTCTGCTGAGCCAACTGCACTTCACACTGCTTCTCTTTGTTCTCCAGGAACAGCAGGAGGACTGCCTAGGTCTGCTTTTCTGCCTGCTGAAAATGAAGCAGGAACTCTGGTGGTAGTAGTTGCCCCACCAGCTTGGGAGAATGGACATCTCCCAGTGAAGAAAGCCCACGTGTTGATTTAAAGCTTTTATTCTGTGGCCCTGTGCTCAAATTTCGAATTCAAGTGCAGGTCATCAGAGATTTTCAAAAAAACACTTTGGAAGAAAAGTATTCTCCATTTCTATATTGTAATTCTGTGATATAAGGACTATTCTTTCACTGATAACAATGAGGTTGTCCTTCATGTCTGTTGTTAAGTCCTAGGCTTTTCTGAATTTCTCAAATTATATTTCTTGTAAGGGGAAGTACCTTGTACTCTTAAGAAAGTTATTTGCACTTCCTCCCTGAAATATGTGGTTTTGGTGGAGCCTAACACATACAAGCATCCAATGCTACTTGAGTTAACAAAGAGAAATAGATTGCTGCAACTAAAGAAGTCACTTGAGAACTATCTCACAAAGAAGAAAGGCTGATCTTAGAGACAGAGACGTTGAAAAAAAAAGAGATAAACTCTATTGGGAGATCTGATTTAATGACAGTTATTGGCAGTTTTGATGAGATTGCTTGAAATATCTGAATTTACATCAAATATTTCTCTGTTGCTAGCTATATGCTGTTGGATGAATTCACAAAACCTTAGAACTTTTTCCTCTAAAGAATTAACAGGAAAACAAACAAACAAAAATACTATGGCGGTACCTCAACCAGAGCTCTTCTAGAATGAAAATATATGCTAAATATCAAGAAAAGCTTCCTTATATAGAGCTATAAGAAGTGGTGGAAGCCTCATCCTTGGAAATATGTAAAACTAGATGAGTAAAAACAGGAGAAAATATACCACAGGGATGAGATGAAGTGACCCAGTAGCTCTGTTCTCTCTCTAATTTATGAGTTTATTATTCAACAAAACACATTCAACTAGTTTTAGAAGTTTGTCAGATTCCAGCCTAATCAGTGGTCTTTCAGATAAAAGTCAAAACAGGATGGTGCATTGACACAAGCCCATATGGCTTTTTCCAGTGCTAGCCATGGTATCCAGAATAAGACAATCCAACTCCTCCCTATAAATTCAGGATTGAGTTGGGACTTCCATTTCGTCTTGAACAGCCTATAGGATATTGGATCTGATTTACTAGATTTAAAACATGTAAACATCTCCAAGTAGAGTGATATTTAGAATTAAGGAAAATAGAGAATCAGTTATATCCCATTCACTATATTAATGTATCAGTTTAGCTATAGTACCTTTAACAAAAAATAAAAAAGGAAAATAAAAAGGAAAGTCATGTGGATAGTTGTAGATATGTTCTTACGTAAGTAGTGATGGAGAAGGTTTTGCTTTGCAAATGAGAGACTACAGAAGGATTGAAGCAATACAAATTATGGGTCACAGAGGCCCATAAGACACAGAGAAGTAATATGACTTCTCTACTCTCGGGTATCAATCGTGGATCAGTCCAGGGACCATGCGATCAAAAAGACCTGCATGATCAATTATGCATGAGTTTAGTTCAAAAGAAAGATGATCAGTCTTGATAAAAAGTATTCCTGTCTTTTGAAAAGACCACTTGTTCTATTGTCCATGTTGGTTTTCATCAGAAAATGAACGCACAAGCACATTACACGGTAATAGCCTGTTTCATTTCTAACTTGTGAGCTCCATTTAATAGCCTTGCCAGTCTTTCTGCCTTTCCACAGATATTTAGCCCTCTCTAACACCTGTCCACTAGAATAAATAATCAATCTTTTTAAGGAATAAAATATAGCACATATTCAAACTTTAGAAGACAGTTTCTTTGGAATAAGATAACACCACAATTATTATACAGATTTCACTGTGGTAACCCAGATGTATATCTTTGCTTGATTTAATTGCTTATGCATTTGACATTGATGATAGGAGTAAATTACCTTTCCCAGCTACTTCCAATAATCATAAATCCACACTACCATCTGTTCATATTTCCATACAGTCCAGTAATCAGGTTGTTAAAAAGATAGGCATAGATTATTATTAAATAGTACCCCATAGATTATTGCTCATTAACCTTTCAAGGCTTGTACATGAGCTAGGTAGCTGTTCATGTGTGAAATATTGAGGGAAAATCCTGGAGAATGACAGTAATCACAAATAAATTAGGAAGAAAAAATGCTAAGTGAAAGGGTCAGTTTTGGGATACCAACATTATATTACCATCTTCATCATAGTAGAAAGGTAGACAAAACAGGTTTCAAGCATATATACATGCTACCATTTTGAAAGCCAGACTGGTATTTATGCATGTTGAATTAGCTTTTGAAAGCACATGCCTGAGACTGCCAGAGGAAACCATTGTTTGAGTGCTTATTGTATACTATTTTGTTCCTTCAAGAATGGCTCCCAAGACTAAACGTGGCATCTGGTAAACTTTGCTATCTGTGTAGGGTCTTCTTTTCACTAAGACATTTTTGCTCCAATCTTCATCACCACATCACTCAGAAACATCGTGCTGACATTAAATGGTGCTTAGGTAATATCTAGCATTTCAGTATTTTAGGTGCAAAATCTGTTACTCTTGATAGTGTGAAAACCACCAAAAACTGTTGTTCCGGTTCAGCTGTAGACAGCCAAATATGGAGGATATAGAATAAATATTTTAAATGTAGGGCAAGAAGACCAAAACTTAGAGTTTATCTACTAATGATTGTCCTACCTGTATGAATAAGGTTTCTTCTGTTGAGGGGAAGATTTTTCAGTTTTGCAATAAAATAGTGTGGATCCTTCATACTCACACAACATTCCCACTCTCTCTCACACACAAATAAATAAGTACCTGAAAGCCAATGAACTGATCAAGCTGTTTCTTCCACAGGCTGGGAAGGAAGAAAGATTGTTAATACTATTTTATATATTTGCATGCACTCAGATATATGACAAAGAGGAACCAACATAACAATTGGACTAGTGATTACATAAAATATTGTCTACTGCATGAATGTGCTTGGGGTGGGAGGGAATATAATCAACCTTTTAAAATAAGTGACAAACAAAAAATGGAAACAATACCATTGGTTTTGATTGTTAATAGAGGATTTTTTATTAGCGTTTTGGGAAGGGACTTGTAGTGAGTGAAAAATGGTTTTCTCCCCCATCCACAAGCTAGCTCCCATCAGAAATCTGCTTTTACAAGTGTATGTTCTTAAAGAGAAGTAAATTGTAATGTTCTACATAAAATAATCTAGTACCAGGGTATGATGTGAATGAATGAAGAATGAGTTTGGTTATTTTTTTTAGGAATGATTAGTCCTGCAGTGTTTATTTTTGAGAATTGTTTTAACAAATGGAAAGAAGGCTGTATTAATAATGTATCTACATTGCAGTAGAGTATACATTCAAAAGGGATTTATCAAAACATTGCCCACTTCTGACATAGTAAAATCGTATATACCTCAAGCTATTTCAGATAATATTTTACAAGATTTGACTATACTCTTTGTCAATTAGTATTTTCTACAGTCTTTTTAAGATGGCTAATACTGTTTTGAAAAATTGAAACTGAAAGGCAAACATTTTTTATAGGACAAAAGTGGTTCAGAGGGTCTTTAAAATGACAGTGTGGGGGGAAAATAAGATAAATGAAAAGAGAGAAAGGGGCAGTGAAAGGAAAGGAGTTGAGGGGGACAGGGCAGTGGAGAAGAGTGCAAGAGGCACAGGTGTAGACAATCTGACATCTGATGTGAAGAGACTGTGAGAGGAGAGGTTTAGAAGCAGACAGCAATCAGCACAGTGCAGAGAAAGTCCAGCCAAAACTATAGAAAGTTCTCTAGCTGACAGACAGGCCCTGCTTTGGCTGCTCCTGCAGCTGCTGGCTCCTCCCAGCAGTTTTCTCCTTCCAAGGCCAAGTGGTTTGGCATGGGCAGGGAGGCACCAGGTGGGTTGCAGGGACCTGCAGAGTAAGGGGTCTCCTTTGCCCAATTCAGAGCCACCACTCACTCCAATTTACCCAAGTGATTTCAGTCTGTCTTTTCCTTTCCCTGTGTTGACTACGCTCCTGGAGGAGATGGTTGCTCATTAATTACGGGCACATTTGTCTGCTAATGATTTGTTACCAAGATCTGAGTGCTACTGTAGATCACACCATAGCACTGACTGAGGCAGGTTTGCTTAAATGTGCTAAATAGTTTACCACATGTACTGCAGAGGTGACTAATGATTTCTTGCAATCCGCTGATTATTCCTTAGCTGTACAATTAGCTCTCTCTACTGCATTTATAGTAAGTGATAGAAGCCTGGTGAGCCCTTTGGAGGAGCTGCCAGAATGTGTAGTCCCCTATGTACTGTTCTTGAATGAATGAATTAGTGGGTCTTCTTTAGGTCAGTGCCATTTAGTTACACTAAGGGAACTGTCAACACTATAACGCTGTTCAGCTTCTACAATAGATTTTGTAAACCATCTGTTTTAGGTACTGTTAGTTAAGAGTGGCATTTCCCTCCTCCCCCACTTTTTTATGGTGACAAAAGGTGCAAATCCAGGAGCATAAAGTACATACCTCAAATAAAAAGTGATGAAGGTTTATTACAACTGACATCTTGCATACATGAATTTCCCTATTTTGAATGCATAACTTGATAGGGATATCTACATGTGCCTCTTTTATAGGGAACTTAAATGCCTTTGTGTTAACAAGGCAACTTAAGCTATCACATGGCTGCCTGTGGCTGTAAGTCCAATTTGAAACTCTGGTCTGAATACAAGCTTTCCATAGTCAAGATTTTTAATTAAAAATTTAACCTTCAAAGACTAACCTTCTAACTGGATTCTAAATGATCAACACATTCACACAGCCACTGTTTGAGTTATTTAAATAGAGGGCTTCATCCAATTAGCATTTTCCTCCTTCCCTTAACAGAGGCGGTAACTCCTAATATCAGGTAGCCCTAACTAGTCAAAGGCCAAATTTGTTGACAATTACTGCTTTTAGCAGATACAGTTGTGGTCTTCCCCTTTACTTAGAATGTTAGCCCTCTCCTGCCAACCCCGGGAGCACCTTATCACCTATTTTTGAAAGTTTGGCCAGATTTTAGTAAAATTTCAAGATAGCCCCATATGGGGATTCTAAAAGAGTAGTTATGATGAAAACTGGAAAAAGAACACTGTGCCGTGGATACAGCACTGGAAGGTTAGCAGCAAAAGAGCAATTGCCTGATATCGGTTTGCAATTCAGTTCTGGTTCTAGATCCAAATCCAAACTTCTGCAATATGTTTAAGTGTTTGGTCTGGTGTTCTGCTAAAGGTCCTCTGGCATTTATGAGCAGATCATCAGATTGGATAGAAACCAGGTAGCACATAACTAGGGGTTGATGCTAATATTGCTGCAGGAAGTACAAATGTATACATTGATCATACTTGAACTCAATAATAACAAGGAGCAATTGCAAACACTGTAAAGAATGCATTATCTCATGGGTCCTTTTAGATTATATGCTATTCAGAAGAGCTGGATGAATACTGAAAATTTGAAAATAAGTTCCAGTTTTTAAATTAAGTGTATCTAGACTGGGTCTACTCTACTTTTGGAGTTATTTTCCCTCACTATTCTAATAATGTCACAAAGAATGTTTGCTGGAAGAGGTTAGTAAATATACCCCCTACTATTTTTATACCAATCCTTCCTGTGTATAAACCAAAGTGTATTGTATCTATAACATCTAGTGCTCTGTATCTATCAAACTGAAGAGGTCTTTTTTTTTTTGGATTTAACTTAAACAATAGTAGGTGACCAAATAAAAAATAATTGTATTTATGTGATCTCTGACTCCGGACATTTGGAAAAAATTCTCCAGAGGTCAACAGAGTCAGAGATGCAAATAAAAAGGATGCCTGTTACTACAAATGTGTATTGTAATGAACAAAATGGTTAATAGATAAGGAGGATTTATAACCCAAATATGTTTTGTGATTATTAAGGCTTATTTGGTACTAAAATGTTTTCTGTAATTTATAAAATAATATATGATTAAGAGATGTTTTAACTCATTGGAAATGGCTTGTTTAGTACTAATGAATGGTTTAAAATCCTTTTAGCTTGTCAATCAAGTAAACTAAAATACTATAAAAGTGTTCTAGAAGTAAAGTTGGTAAGGTAAACTGAAATATCTAAAAACAAAACACATAGTGGGATCAATTGTGGGAAAGTATCTTCTATTCCACACAAAGGAATTTCTTTGTCCCACATGCTGTAAAAGGGAAAACATTTGGGGAGTTAAGATGGAAGTGGACAACCTGCTATCACTTCACCAGTTATGGAGGGTTTCATAAAGCATGCTTTCTTCCTGTATTCTGCTATATTAATCTAATAATCTCTGATTAAATAATTCCAATTGAGCTGATTATCTGATATCTCATGTTGTTAATATGATTATTAAATTCAAACATGCAACATTTTAAGTGAATATTGCATAACGTTCGCAGACAGTAAGTTTCAAAATTTGTAATCATGGTTGTTCAATCAAAACCTGATTCCAATAATGATGTGCCTCTAACCAATGAAGAAACAGCATGCCCATCTTTAGAGGGAGCATTCAAATATCAAACTTCAGAGTGAAATTGTCACAAGAATTTGTCACAGAAGCTATTCAGCAAATTTTGAATGATGAATAAATTAGAGAAAAAATCAAGATCTGTCTGACCATTTTACAAACAGAAAAAGGAAATTAAATAATCTAATAAATGATTTGTTATGAATTATTTGACCAGCTGTACTATCCAGTATCTGTTGCTTTTGTTTCACTCATCCCTTAGTGGCCAGAAGATATAAAGGTTCTATTTCTTCTGGGAAGCATAGCAAACCCTGTGTGGTCCTAGCCAGAACATCTAGGCCTGCATGTATCAGATCTGTCTTAAAGTTGCTAATGACAAATATAAAATTATGCTAATGGTGTCTCAGCATCCTCTTCATAACATTACATCCCCTAAAATTTTGTTGGATGACAATTCGCTATCTTGTCCCACAGGTTTGCCATCTGGGGATAATTACAGACTCTGTCATGTAAATAAGCAGCTTGGCATCATCTTGGGAAAGCAGAGATTAAATCCTTGCTGTGTAAATGATATTGTTTTGCTTAGCTGGCCATTCCAAAAAAATGGAAAACAATTTGGTTTGACCGAAGTTTTAAATTTCACTGAAAATTCTAAAAAGAGTCAGAAAAGTTCCATTTCAGGTAGAACAAAACATTTCATTTTGGGTATTTTTGCTAAAAGCTGAGGAAATGAGGGACTAGATTCACAAGAACACAGGAGAAGGAGCTGGTTCCAGTCCCCTCATGCCCAGTGGTTAGGGCACTCACTTAGGATGTGAGAGACCCAGGTTTGAATCTCTACTTTGGAGAAGGAATTTGAACTCAAGTCTCCCTCCATCTGGGTGAGTGCCCTAACTACCAAGCTATGGGACATTATAGGGTGGGACTCTTTCCTGCTGAAGCTGTTCCACTGTGTGTCAATACTTGACTAGTCATTGGCCAGAGACTGAGCATGACTGCATAGCCTGGTGGTTATGGCACATGCCTTGGATGGCGGGGCATCCAGGTTCCAGTCTCCGCTCCAATGAAGAGTTTAGTATTTATACCAAGTGGAACAGTTTCAACAGGAGAGATTGAGAAAGACCCCTCCCCACATACCTTACAGTCTGGTGGTTAGGGCACTCACCTGGGAAAGGGGGAGACCTGAATTCAAGACTTTGCTCCAGATCAGTGATTCAGCTCTGTCTCCCCCACATCCCAGCTGAGTGTCCCATGCTCAGGGCTGTTAGGTATGGGCGGTTTTATGACTGGTGCCTGAATCAGCCTCCTCTTACCCCCTCCAAAAATTACA